CTGCCAGCCTGGCTGCCCCACACCTGGCCGGCACGCGCTTGGCGCGCCCTGCTCCGCCCCCCTCCTACCCCCTCCTCCAGCGCAGGTAAGAGCTGTTAAGCACAGGTCAGTGTGTGTTTTCAAATGGCAACCCGTCTTTTAATGAAGCCCATGGGGAAGTGATGGGGAATGTGCCTGTGATTATCAGGAAGCTTTTCATGGATCCCTCCTCTAAAAACTAGGTGCGTCTTATGGTCAGGTGTGTCTTATAGAGCAAAAAATACAGTATTTCAGGTGAAATACTTTGTTGTTTATATAGTTTGGTGATATAGAAAAAAAACATAGAAAAACATAGAAAACAGAGTCAGAAGGGGTCTCCCGGGCCATCTAGTCTGACCTCCGGCACCAGCCGGCTCTGCTCACGACATGCCCACCATGTGGACGTCCAGCCTATCCTTGAACACCCTCACTGATGGGGCCTCAGCGACCTCCCGTGGAAGCCCATTCGACACCCTCGGGGTCCTGACTGTCAGGAAGTGCTTCCTGGCATCCAAATGGAACCTTGGCTCCCTGAGCTTTGCTCTGTTGGAGCGCATTTTGCCTTCCTCTGCAGGGGAGAACAGGTCTCTACCCATCTCCATGTGACATCCCCTCACATACCTGTATGTCACCAATATATCCCCTCTGAGTCTCCTCTTCTCCAGGCTGAAGAGACCCAGTACCCTCAGTCTGGCCTCATACGGCATCCCCTGCAAACCGGCCACCAACCTTGTGGCCCTACGCTGCACTGACTCTACCTGACTATATCCTTTCTGTAATGAGGGGCCCAAAACTGAACACAATACTCCAGTTGCGGGCGCACTAGAGTCATGTAGAGTGGTAGTAATACCTCTCTCGATCTAGAAGCCACACTTCTGGCTATACAACCAAGGGTGGCGTTCACCCTCTTGACCACCGCATCACACTGCTGACTCATGTTTAGCCTGCAGTCAACCAGTACCCCGAGGTCCCTTTCACAAATGCTGCTCTCCAGCCACTTATCACCTAACCTGTACTTATGACAGCTATTCCTATGCCCCAAGTGCAAGACCTTGCACTTATCTACACTGAACGCCATCCTGTTGTTTCCTGCCCACTTCCATAGTCTGTCCAGATCCTTTTGGATCTGGAGTACCTGCTCCTCAGTTGTGGCCACTGCTCCAGTTTTAGTGTCATCTGTGAATTTGATCAGCAGACTGTTCACCCCTTCTTCCATGTCGTTAGTGAAAAGATTAAACAGGATCGGCCCCAGGACAGAGCCCTGGGGGACCCCGCTTGTCACTGGCCACCATCCCGATGATTCCCCATTAATGGTTACCTTCTGCTTTCGGTCAGTCAACCATGCCCTAATCCACCGGACAGTGCTTTGGTGTATCCCAAAACTCCTCAGTTTCTCCACCAGGATATCATGGGGCACTTTGTCAAAGGCCTTGCTGAAATCCAGGTATACCACATCCACTGCATCCCCTCCATCTAGCCATCGCAAAACCTTGTCATAGAATTCCACAAGGTTTGTCTGGCAGGACCTGTTTTTGCGGAAGCCATGTTGTGTGGCTGTCAGCCTCCCTTCCCTATCTAGCATCCCTAGATCTCTCTCTATTATGAGCCTTTCCATTGTTTTTCCTACAATGGTCTATAATTCCCCATGTCCTTTCTACTAGTGTAGTAGAAAGTAGTGCATATTCTACTACCCTTATAGGTATATAAGTATATCCATACTTAGCTGTTGCATCATTCCACCAGTTAAACTAACAAGGATCAAAGTAATGCATTACTTGAGAGCCTGTGCATGCAAGTTGTTTTGCTTGGCTATCTACAATCAGCCCTGGAGATCAGGCTAACGAAATCCTTAGCTTAGGTTTTCGTCTTCTGGGTGAACCAGCCTAGCATCTTTGACACAAGCCACTATTGGTTTTATGAGCACACCCAGTATAAACCACTAAGGTATTGGCTGGATTAAAAGGATGAAAGGACAGGATTAGCTGCTTCTATTTCTGAATTGCACCGAGAGAGCCACCTCGGCACCAAGTCTATGTATGCATAAGGGATGGAAAGTTAGGATGGCTGCTCCTCTGCAGTTCAGGCTGCCCAGGGGAATGTCTCTGGAGTCAGCAATCATTGCTGCCGTTGTTAAATCGGTGTCAAAAAGTTAGGCATGGAATGTTGTTTTGTCGGGGGGGGGGGGGGAGAAAACCAATTATTAACTGCTGTGGATTGTGGATATGTTAAGGTGAATCATTAGTTACTTGATATCCATGTTAGCTATTTTTGTAACAACTAAATATTAAGTCAAAATTGTAGTAATAAAAGTAACAATGATTGCCCTTTTGTGTAATTTCCTCCACTGAGCAATATTATGTAATTTTTCATAGGGTTCCTTGGTATCTTTTTCTTTCTTTCTCATGTTACTTTCTCTTTGGGTTTTTTTATTTATAAAAATAAAATAAACATAACAATAGGTGCGGAGATCACAAAGCCAAGACAAGGTCAGAACTGCAGTTCAGATAGTGTCATTGCCTTTTTTGTCTGTCTATTGAAATTTTGCAAGAGGCAGAAATTCAGCTGACCATGATTCCCATGTTACATTTCTGCTTGCTTACAACACAGGATACCTTGTCAGAAAAGAATGGTCGTGTGTTACTTAGGAACTGAGCCTCACATACTCAGTGAACAAAATTGATTGCTTTATTGATTTAAAACATACAGATCTGGGGGTCCTCTTAGCTGGTTAAAGAACAGAAGATATAGGGCCAGAATAAATGGCCATTTCTCCCAATGGAGAGATGTCACCACTGGAGTTCCACAGTTCTGTATTATGACAAATGCTTTTTAACCTATTCATAAATGATCTGGAATTAGGAGTAAGTAGTGGCCAATTTAAGACACTAAACTTTTTAGGGTGGTTAAAACTAAAAGGGATTGTGAGGGGCTCTAAAGAGACATCCCCAAGCTGGGAGAACAGGCATCCAAAAGGCAAATGCAGTTCAATATAAGCAAATATAGAGTAGTGCATATTGGAGCAAAAATCCCAATTTCAAGTACATGCTGATACAATCTGAACTAGCAGTGACTGAGCAAGAAAGGGATCTTGAGGTAACAGCAAACAACTCAGCGAAATGTCAGTCTAGTGTCCAGCTGCTGTGAAGAAGGCAAACTCCTTTCTAAGCATAATTAACAAGGGAATAGAAAATAAGACAAACTCTAACTCCCTTATACAAATCTTTGATGCGACCACTCCTGAAACATTGTGTTCAGTTCTGGTTGCCTTACCTGAAAAAGGACATTACTGAGTTGGGAAAAGTGCGAAGAAGGGCAACAAAAATGATCAGGGGGTTGGAACAGCTCCCTTACGAGTAGCAGCTCCAACTGGAATTGTTCAGCTTAGAAAAAATGAGAGTAAAGGGAGGCATGATAGACGCTGTCATGACAAAATGAACAAAAGCTCTGCCATAATATGGTTGCTAAAAACTTGACACTATAAGAACAGCTTTAGACTTAAGGTAGGATTCCTAATCTGAGCAGGAAACCATGTTGCCAGTCTTGCTCTCCACCTGCACCTTAAATATGCTAATGTTTGCCTGTCCACAAAGTTTTTCCTTTTGTGTTGTCTTAATCCATTCAACCCTATTGTTTTACTCTCATGTACTTCTAGCAAACTGCCTGCATGATCCCACACCTTCCTCCAAACTGCGTACACAACCAATACGTTATAAAAGTGTCTTGTACAGACTCCATCTTGGTAGACCCTTTGGGGCCTTACCTTTGTGCTGCATTTTGAATAAACTGCAAATGTTCTTTTGGTTGTACAGCCCCAACAAACCCTCTCTGGTTTTCCTTGTCATGATGTTTAAAATAATGCATGATGTGCAGAAGAGAGAAGTTTTTACTCCTTCTCCCATAACACTCAAAACACTCTTCCATAACATGGACTCATCCCACGAAGCTGTTTGGTGGGAGGTTTAAGGACAGATAAAAGGAAGTACTTCTTCACACAGCATAGAGTTAAACTATGGAATTCACTGCCAGAGCAAGTGGTGAAGGCCACTAATCTGGATGAGTTTAAAAGGGGGATTGAACAGGATTCATGAGGGAGGTAGCTATTGGTGGCCACTAGCCTTGTTGGCCACGTGTTTTAGCAGAGGTGGCCTGCCTGCATGCACCAGTTGCTGAGGAGCTTGGGCAAGAAGAGGACTTGCACCCATCCTGCTTGAGCGATCCTGTTGGTCTGCAGCTGTCTGATCCAGCATGGCTTAGGTTCTTATGCTGAAGTCCGAAAAGCGATTTGACATGGTTTTGTACTCCAGGGAGGCAGGTGTGGCTTGATACAGGCACCGATATGTTTTCAGTTGTTTTTCTTTGCAGCAGAACGTATTTTTTTTCAAGCAATACAAGATTGCCTCCGGGAAGACAGAGTAAATTTATTCCCACCAATTAATAACCTGCCTTCAGTCGACTTTCACACTTTTGGATCTCAGGGTCCTGATCCTGGACAGCATTGTTACTTAAACACACCCGTAGGCACAAAACACACAACAGGAAAACATCTCAGATTTAATGCGCATGCGCCAACTATTCTTCTCTCCGCCCCTACAGCTTTTCTCTTTGGCTCGCTCCGGGGGTCTCTGCCCCAGAAAATATACTGGCCTACCCTGTCGCGGTATACTTAAAGCTAAAGATGGAAGCGCACAACTACCCCCTCCCAATTTTTTTCAGCCAATCCCCTTCCTCGACTGCTACTGCGCCTGAACGTCACAAAGAAATCCAGTCATAGCCAGTTCATCCTCGCCCGCATCGCAAAGTCCGCAGGCGTACTAGGCCCCATAAACGCGGGGTGGGGCAAGGCAGCCCTCACTGCCGCAGCCGCCTCCGTCTCCCCCCTCCCATCAACTTTTTTCTTCCTCTAGCCAATCCCATTACTTCCCTCCCCTCCCGGTGCGCGTTGACGTCATAAAAGCCGAGCCATTATATAAACGGTCGGACGTTTAACCCCGCCCTTCCTGCTGCCTTTCCCTTTTTTTGGAGTCCCCTCGCAGAGGCTGAAGAGCCGCTGCCGTTGTTGTCGCCGCAGCTTCCTCCTCTCTGCCTTTTGCCGTCGCCGCTGTTGCCTCCGCCCCGGGAAAGAGGGAAGCGAAGCGCGTCGTATGTCCGCTATCCAGAACCTCCACTCCTTCGGTGAGGCTCCGCAGAAGCGGGGCGGGGGGCCCTCAGGGCAGGAGAATAAACGAGGCTGACGCCGGTGGGGGAGAAGGGAGGCAGGGACGGACGGGCGGGGAGGGCCGTTTCGGTTATGGCCTGTTGGGCGGGATCCGTTTGAGCCCTCAAGGGGAGGCCAACGGGAAGCGGCGGCGGGGGGGGCTTTCCTCAGAGGGAGGGGGAGGTGCTCGGGCGGGAGGCGGGGCCGTGGCCGTGGGAGGAGGCGGGTCTCCTGCTGTGGGGCTAAGCGGGGAGGGGCCACTTGGCCAGGCTGGGGGGCTAAGCAGTGGCTTTCAGAACTGGACGGAAGCCAGCGGGGGCGGGCGAGAAGCGCCTGCGCCGAGGCGGTGGGGCTTGAAGGTGCGCGGAGGGAGGTGGGTGGGCGTCCTTCAGAAGGATGTCTTGACACGGAGGAGCCCCGGGAGCCGAGCGGGCCTCCTTGCCGGGGCAGCAGGAGCCGTGGGGTAGATCCGGCCCCCGAAGGGGCGGCCGATAGGCGATGCGGTGCCTCGCCCTAGGCCCGAGCTGGGGATGTGGCACTGCGGAGCGGCCTCTGCCATCTTGCCTCGGTCTGTCCTCGCTGACGCAGTCGCTAATTCCTGGCGGTTGCGTCAGCCACGGGATGGGCGGGGCTGCTCGGCGGTCACGTGGGCTGCCGGGAAGGTTCCCGTTTCTGCCTGCTAGACGAGAAAAGGGAGCAAAATGGTGACGGGAAGCCAGTGGGGGCGGGTGCAGTCACGGAAATAGCTTCTGTGCCATCTGGTATTTTGGAATATAATAATCAGAACTTGGCTTGATAAAGAATCCTTAATCAGATGCTTTCACGGGAGCCGGTAAAAGTCTTTAAGTACAGTACTGTAAGCTTGGGGGTGGGGATTTAGGCATTTTTGAAGAACAGTAAAACACTGCCCTTTGTGTGGCTAAGTTCACATCCGCTCCGTTGGTTATAAAGCTCAGTGTGGCATTTCAGGTTACATTTCTGGCAGATCCATAAATCCAAGGGAAATGTTTAGGTTTTAATGCACTTCCTTTCTCTTTTCAGACCCCTTTGCTGATGCAAGTAAGGGTGATGACTTACTTCCTGCTGGGACTGAAGACTACATCCATATAAGGATCCAGCAGAGGAACGGCAGAAAAACCCTCACCACAGTCCAGGGCATTGCCGATGATTATGATAAAAAGAAACTGGTGAAGGCCTTCAAGAAGGTGAGTGGGAATTTTGGGCTACTATCCTTTTCAGAACAAACTTCAGCTGCTTTGAGTTACATTTGGAGTTACTGAAGGAAAACATGTTGGTTCATTCTCAGAAGTAAGTCTAGCCCATTCAAAGACATATATAGTAGATACTCAAGAGTTGAATGACTGATACATATATTTGTCTCTGTAGAAGTTTGCCTGCAATGGTACTGTGATTGAGCACCCAGAGTATGGAGAAGTGATTCAGCTTCAAGGAGACCAGCGGAAGAACATATGTCAGTTCCTCATTGAGGTGAGTAGCCCTGGGGAGCACTTAAAGACTCCTTGATTGTCTGGCTCAGTAGTGTTGCTTCTGCATTTGAAGACAAAAGCATGCATGGGTTGTGTTTTATTTGTATAACAACTGAATGAGCAAGAACATCTGTTCAAGTGCAACTGGCTTTATTTGGTTATCTTGAATGCCATTAGTGGTGGCTGTTAAAGGACTTCTTGCTTTCTCCGTATGCTTTCTTTAAATGCTCACGGCTTTATTCCTTTTTCCTTCTGCAGATTGGACTGGCTAAAGACGACCAGCTGAAAGTCCATGGGTTTTAAGTGCCTGTGGGTCACCAGAGTTGTAAGGGAGAACACTTCCCTGCAATGAGAAATTCCTTGTGTCCTGCATCACTAGTTTAAAACAAGTCAGCTTGCATAATGTAATCACGTCAGGTTCCCTTCAGTCTGGACTAGTGTAACTTAGCAATGTAATAAACTGACAAGAGCCCATGTTGTCGTCTTGCTGTCCCTCATTTAAAGCAGGCCCAGTTTTTGGGGAGTCGGGTCAGAAGCTTATTCTACACCGATGCTACTGATAAAATGCTTTGGATGTTCTAACTGTGTTGGGGACTTACCTAAAATTTTCAGACTGCCTTCTGTGACATAGAAATTGAGGCTAATAACTAGAGGTTCCTCTCCGGAATGAACTGTTATACTAAGTGGCAGAAGGCAGGGATTGGGTCTGAATTACCTTTGTATATCTGAAGGAATCTCTCTTCAAAAGTATTGGGGATGTGGAAATCAAACTCCCTTCAGGACTGGCACTGATGTTACTAAACCCAGGCATAGCAGTAGTGGGCTCAGTCTGTGGCTTAAAGGGAGCAGTTTTAAAGTGAGATGTCTTTGAGAAGAGCTTCTTTAGCAACTAATGACCCTGTGGAGCAACAGATTTCTTGGTTTGAGTCCTGATGTTCTGTGTAATGTATTTAAACACTTATTTAAATAAAAAGAATTTTCAGAAACAGTTGCCTTGTTCTTTCAATAACCTGTTAAAGGATTGAAAACAAAACCGTCAGCCAGAATAAACCACAAATAACTTGAGAGATTATCGCCTTCAGAGTGGGAAAATGATTGCCTCTTTGCTCTCATTAGGTAATTGGTCTCTTCTGATAGTCCGCAGTGTTGGAAAAGGAGGGGTTCAGGGAATAATTTGGTAGATGGAATAGGAAGTGCTGGGAACACTAAATACTGAATGGACCATAGTATGCATTACTCCAGTATGAAGATCATCTTGCTGTAACCTTGCAGTTGCATCACAATTCTAAATACGATCTCTGTAGGTTCCTACATCATTAAATCATCCTGAAGCTTTTATGAACTTGCTTAGGCCTTAAGTGTAACATGCAGAACCCAGCATTGTGTCCTAAATCGAGAAACAATTTAAAACTTCAGTGCATGCTTGTAGATGGGCATCCTTGTACCTAGGATGACATTAAGGGCCTGACATTAAGTTGAAAGTTACTGGTCAAATGTTAGCCTGATTTTTGACAATTTAATTGCTAATTAGGGAAAGCTCTTCCTACTATTTATTCTCTGGGAGGTGGCAACTGCTGTTTGAGAGGCCAAGTGCTGTGTTTAATAATTGGCCTGCCTTGCAAAGATAACACTTAAATGCACAAAATTCAGTGTAATGCCCATGTAGTTGCTTGACCTTAGAATCCCTCCAAGGAAGAGAATATGAAAAGTTCAAATGCAAAGCCTATGCAAAAATTAAACTAGGATGCAATGTTGTTCACTTTTTTTCAAAAGAGAGTTCTGCATCATCAGAAAATGGGAGAAGGGGAAGAATTAGGTTTTTGCAGCAGCACTAAAAATCACAAAAAGATCTGCCCAAACTACAAGCCCTAAGTTATTTGGGCTAGAGCTTGTATATTTCACTAAGGGCCCCATACCTTCTCCTTGTAACTCAAGCATTGCAATAGTCAAGATACTGATGCAAGCTTCAGAGTGGGTTTGGGGTTGATCTAAACAATAATTACTGGTTAGAAATGCAGTGGTGTAAAATGCAGCGAGCAAAGCCAAAATACAGCTTGACAGAATGAGGTGGATAATTTCTAGGAAATAGGCTTCTAGGCTTGCCTTGTCACCCTGGATGCCCATTAATTAAAGGGTGAGCTTGCTTTATAGGCAATATGGAACTAGAAAGGAACCTTCAAGGTAATAAATACAGTATTATCAAAGAAGTGAGTACACGCCTCACATTGTGTAAATATATCTTTTCATGTGACAACCCTGAAGAAATGACACTTCACTACAATGTAAAGTGAGTATACAGCTTGTATAACTAAATTTGCTGTCCCCTCAAAATAACAGCTATTAATGTCTAAACCACTGGCAACTAAAGTGAGTACACCCCTAAGTGAAACTGTCTAAATTGGGCCCAAAGTGTCAATATTTTGTGTGGCCACCATTATTTTCCAGCACTGCCTTAACCCTCTTGGGCATGGAGTTCAGAGCTTCACAGGTTGCCACTGGAGTCCTCTTCCACTCCTCCATGACGACATCACGGAGCTGGTGGATGTTAGAGACATTGTGCTCCTCCACCTTCCGCTTCAGGATGCCCCACAGATGCTCGATAGGGTTTAGGTCTGGAGACATGCTTGGCCAGTCCATCACCTTTACCCTCAGCTTCTTTAGCAAGGCAGTGGTCGTCTTGGAGGTGTGTTTGGGGTCGTTATCATGTTGAAATACTGCCCTGCAGCCCAGTCTCTGAAGGGAGGGGATCATGCTCTGCTTCAGTGTGTCACAGTACATGTTGGCATTCATGGTTCCTGCAATGAACTGTAGCTCCCCAGTGCCGGCAGCACTCATGCAGCCCCAGACCATGACACTCCCACCACCATGCTTGACTGTAGGCAAGACACACTTGTCTTTGTACTCCTCACCTGGTTGTCGTCACACACGCTTGACACCATCCGAACCAAATAAGTTTATCTTGGTCTCATCAGACCGCAGGACATGGTTCCACTAATCCATGTCCTTAGTCCACTTGTCTTCAGCAAACTGTCTGCGGGCTTTCTTGTGCATCATCTTTAGAAGAGGCTTCCTTTTGGGATGTCAGCCCTACAGACCAATTTGATGCAGTGTGCGGCGTATGGTCTGAGCACTGACAGGCTGACTCACCACCCCTTCAACCTCTGCAGCAATGCTGGCAGCACTCATACATCTAGATCCCAAAGCCAGCCTCTGGATATGACGCTGAGCACGTGCACTCAACTTCTTTGGTCGACCATGGCGAGGCCTGTTCTGAGTGGAACCAGTCCTGTTAAACTGCTGTATGGTCTTGGCCACCGTGCTGCAGCTCACTTTCAGGGTCTTGGCAATCTTCTTATAGCCTAGGCCATCTTTATGTAGAGCAACAATTCTTTTTTTCAGATCCTCAGAGAGTTCTTTGCCATGAGGTGCCATGTTGCACTTCCAGTGACCAGTATGAGACAGTGAGAGCGATAACACCAAATTTAACACACCTGCTCCCCATTCACACCTGAGACCTTGTAACACTAACGAGTCACATGACACCGGGGAGG